TCAAGGGAATATTTCTAAAATCTTACCCCAAGACAAAAGAAACCTTATATTTTTCAATTCACCACGTCGACGATCGCAGATTTTTTTTTTAATTTAAGACAATTTTTTCAAAAGTTTAATTTTCCAATCTCACGATAATTTAGGCTTTTTTCAATTACTCTCGAAAAATACTAAAAAAAGATTTTCTTTAGATTTTGATCTCAGAAGTTACATTTTGTGAATTTTTAGACAACTCTTGCACAAGCTCAATTTTTCTATACCTTCCCCATTATGAAAATTCCGAGCTTTTTTCGACCACCATTCCCGAAACGCTTTTTTCCAGAATATCAATTTTTCGATACTGAACATTTCTACCTTTCTTCGATTACAATCGAAAATTACCTAAATGATTTTTCCGTAGATTTCAACCTCCAGAAGTTACTTTCGGTCTCATTTCATCGAAAACTCCTACAATTTTTCCAAAATAGCCCGAGGAGTTACAGCAAATTTGGGATTTTTTTTAAAATTGACTGTTAACGCAAATATTTCTAAAATCGTGTCCCGGTGCCATAAACACGCTATATTTTTGGAATCAATACGTCGAGACCTATGTCTCAGATTTTTTATGGATTTTTAGACATTTTTTGCTAATTTTTCAATATCCTTCACCATTATAAAAATTACGACTTTTTTTCCACTATCATCGAAAATTAGCCTAAAGGCATTTTCTTGTAGATTTGAATCTTTAGAAGTTACTTTCGGCCTCATTTTGTGGAGTTTAGGCAACTTTTCCAAAGGCTCAATTTTTCAATGCTGTTCTCCGTCATCATGAAAATTTTGAGCTTTTTTTCGAACACCCTCGAAAATTACCGAAATACTTTTTTTCAGAATATCCGAACGAATTATGGTAATTTTGGCACTTTTAGAAAAACTGAGATGCTCCAAGACCATAAACGCTACATTTTTCTAACAAGCACGTCGAGATCTAGGTATATTTCAGAATTTTTTGTAAATTTTTGGACAACTTTTCCAAAAGCTCAATTTTTCGATAAATTTCTGCCTTTCTTCGATTACTTTCAAAAATTACCTAAAGGTATTTTTTTGTAGATTCCAACCTCCAGAAATTATTTCGGCATCATTTTTTCGAAAACTCCAAACATTTTTCTACTATCGTCCAACGAACTATGGCGATTCTTAAAAAAAAAAAATGAATTTCGAGGCAAATATTTCAAAAATCCAGTTCCGAGACCATAAACACACCATATTTTTACGCATTTAAGCAAATTTTTCAATTTTTCAATACTCCGTCCTTTCCATAAAAAATTCAAACTTAGTTCGAGTACCTTTGAAAATTATTGAAATGCTTTTTCCAGAATATCCGAACGAAATATAGCAATTTTGTTGACTTTAAAAAAAAAATAGGTACTCCCAGACCCAGACCATAAGCACCATTTTTTTTTTCAACAAGCACGTCGAGATCTATATTTATTCCAGAATTTTTGGACAACTTTTTCAAAAGCTCAATTTTTCGACAGTGAAAATTTCTACCTTTCTTCAATTAGGTACATTCGAAAATTATCCAAAGGGATTTTTTTTATAGATTTCCACCTCCAGGAATTATTTCGGCCTCATTTCTTCGAAAACTCCTAACCTTTTTCCACAATTGCCCAACGAATTATGGCAAGTTTTAAAATAAAAAAAAAATTCGTAGCGAATATTTCAAAAATTCCATTCCGGGACCGTAAACACAGAATATTTTTATACATTTAAGCAACTTTTTCAATTTTTCAATACACCCCCTTCCCCATAAAAAAATTCAACCTTATTTCGACTACCTGAAAAAATTACCTAAAGGGATGTTTTTTTGCAAGTAACTTCTAGAAGTTACTTGTGGCCTCATTTTGTGGATTTTTAGACAACTTATTCAAAAGCTCAATTTTTCAATACTTTTCCCTATTATGAAAATTTCTTTGACTACCATCGAAAATAACCGGAATGCTTTTTTCCAGATAATCCGACCGAATTATAGCAATTTTGGGACTTCTAAAAAAATTGAAATTCAAATCCAATAATTCTAAAATTCTGTTCCTAGACTATATTTTTCAAATAAGCACGTCGAGATCTGTACCTATTCCAGAATTTTTTGTGGGGTTTTGGACAACCTTAAAAGCCAAATTTTTCGATTTTTGAAATTTCTACCTCTCTTCGATTATATTTTTTCTCCTTCCTCCAGAAATTATTTCGGCCTCATTTCTTCGAAAACTTCTAAAAATTTTCCACAATCGCCTAATAACGAATATGTCAAAAATTCCTTTCCAGGAGCCTAAACACACTATATTTTTATACCTTTAAAGAAGATTTTCAATTTTTTAATACTTTTCCTCCCTATAAAAAAATTCAAGTTATTTGGACTACCGTAGAAAATCAATCAAAGGGATTTTTTTGCAACGAGATTTCAAGCTCAAGAAATTAATTTCTTTCGGTCCCATTTCTCCAAATACTCCTACAACTTTTCTAGAATCGCCCAACGAATTTTAGCAATTTTTAAAATTTTTTGAAAAATTTAATTTCTAAATGAACATTCCCAAAATTTAGCTCCGGGACTACAAACAAGCTACTTTTGCAAACAATATGTCAAAATCTATAGAGCGGATTTTTTTTGTGGATTTTTAGGCAACTTTTTCAAAAGCTCAATTTTCCAGTTGATTTTCTCTTTTACAAAAATGTTTACTTTTTGATGAAAAATTCCCGAAAAGATTTTCTTAAGATTTTGATCTCCAGAAGTTACTTTCGCCCTCATTTTGTAGATTTTTAGACAACCTTTCCAAAAGCTCAAGTTTTCAATACCTCCAAGTTTTCAATACCTCCCCCAACATGAAAATTTCGAGCTTTTTTCGATCACCATTTCCGAAATTTTCTTTAATTCCATTCGAAAACTACCTAAAAGGATTTTTTTGTAGATTTCAAGCTCAAGAATTCACTCATTTCCTCGAAACCTCACACAACTTTTCCAGAGTTGCTCAACGAAATTTATCAATTTTTAGATTTTTTTTAAATATTGAATTTCTAAGTGAATATTTCTAAAATTTTTTCGAACCCGTAGGTATGTCAAAATCTATGGTGCGGAATTTTTTGTGGATTTTTCGGAAACTTTTTTAAAAGCTCAATTTAATTTTTCGAAAAGATTCGTCCAGATTTATCCCAGAATTTTTTGTGTAATTTCAGGCAATGTTTCCAAAATCTCAATTTTTCAATACTCTTCCCATTATGAAAATTTAGCGATTTTTTGGACCATTTAAGCAACTTTTTCAATTTTTCAAACATCAAGCTAATTTTCGAGCGGTTGTCAAATTCTATAGTGCGGAATTTTTTGTGGATTTTTAGGCAAATTTTTAAAAAGCTCAATATACATATTTTGACCTTTTTCGACCATCTTCAAAAATTATCTAAAAGAATTTTTTGTAGAACTCAACCTCCAGAAGTTATTTTCGGTCTCATTTTTTCGAAGACTCCTACTATTTTTCCAGAATATCCCATTGAATTATGGCAATTTTGTGATTACAAAAATTAAATTTTTAGCCAACTTTTCCATAATTTCAATTTTTCAATAGAAAAATTCGACCTTTTTTTGACTACTATCTACTAATACCATTTTTTCAGAATAGCGTAAAGCATTATGGCAATAAATATTACACTTGAAAAAGACTAAAAACGATTTTCTTTAGATTTTGATCTTCAGAAGTTACATTCGACCTCATTTCTTCGAAAACTTCTACAGTTTTTCACTGAAGAACGGCAAATTTTTAGAATTAAAAAAACAAATTACAAAAATTAATGATGTTAAATAAGTATTTCTTTCAAAAATTTCGAAGCCGATCCTTATTAAATTATAAACAACCATTCCAACATTAAAGCTCAAATGTTACACTGAAAAAAAAATTATGCCAATTTTTTAAGACTGATTTATTTTAATCCAAAATAGAATCAGAAGCGTAAAAAAAAGTTAAATTTTCAATGCGTCTTTTAACATCATTTTTGATGTTAAAATTACGTACCTATTCAGGAGTGAAAATTCGACGAAAAAATAAAAATATAACGAAGACAACACCCGAAATGAAACGATAGAGGAAAAGAAAAAACCGTGGGAGAGACAAGAGTTAAAGTAACGTAACTTAATACTATTATATAAATATTAAAAGACTAACAAAAATGTAGAAAGTATAATAATTTGCAGAACGACAATGGAAAACACTTGTCACAAAAATTTCACAAAATTTCAAGTTGTGTGGTTGCACAAATTTTCCTTCACAAAATTCCTTCGGTGTAACGTAACAATCTTAATATTCGCTAATCTAACGACGTTGTGAAAGCGGCCATATTTGTAGCGGTAACACAATAACAGTCTTATCACAATATGTGCTTACATCCATCTACGAGCTAATTATATTTAACGACCAGTGTTACAATCTGTAATGAACTTACATGATTCTCCCCGCATAAATCAATTTTAATTATAACTTCTACCTGTCCAATAAACAACCCAACCCCATATTTAATACCAATTAATCTACACCAACAATTAGCCGCGCAACCAGAAACCTTTTTGTACCAATAACAAAATAATCACCGTTTTTTGCAATTCCCGAAGACTTACACCAATCGACCAATCCAATAATTAATAACAGTGATTACCCCCTAATTTACGACAAGGAAGCGATCAACCACCATCATTACCACCAACTAACTCCCATCCTCCACCTCTCCTCCAGGCCCGAAAAACCCTCCAAACCACCATTTCCGCTTCCACATCGCGCTCGAAGATTACAAGTAACAAAACAAGATAGTAACAAATTAGCACCTCTAGGTATCAACCGGCATGAGCACACCAATTCAAAATCCAGATCGCCATTGGTCGATAACGCGAACTCCGCCCATTTACGCCTGGATACCTTGGGCAAGTCCCGCCCACTCCGGCTTTCTAATATAGGAAACCGATTCGCCTCAGTCAGTCGGTTCGAGAGCGCGAATGGGCGATGACGTAGTCGGTTTTGGTCCGGTTTGGAACAAATTTTTCTGGTTTTGATTGTCGTAATAGCGCTGCAATAGGACGCACATTCCACGGGCTTTAATCGCGCTCATTTAGTTAATTGCGTCAACGGTTAAATTTAGATGGTACCGAGGATTCGACTGCTGGGCTGTTTTGTGGTGGTTTGGTGGTGAAGTGATTGTGGTTCGGTGGATTTGATTGGGCGCTGCTGGATTACGCTTTTAGGTAATTGCTTGAGGGCGAAGTGTGGGTGAGAGGTTGGTTTGATGGGGAAAAAATGGGAAAGCGGATTTGGGGAGTCAATAGCCCCTGGGAAGGTGGTACCATATCGAGTTGAAAAACTTGCCCATTAAAAAAATAATAATACTTAAATAAATAAATAAAATGTGGTGTGAACTTTGTTGTCGCGATTGAATATTTACAAATATAATAAACATCGTTTATATGTTGTTATTACAACGTTTATTTTAACCGAAAGTTGCCGTCGGACGAAAACAGTTAACTATTTTAGTTTGAACCTTCTGTCAATGAACTATTTTTTATCCGCGATTGGCACTTTAACCTTTGCATAGGCCAATTGGATTTTAAAGGCTGTTTGCTTGATCATAAAACAAAGCATACTCGGTACCTTTCTAGTCATAAAACTGTCAATATATTTTATATCTTTTCCCATTATAGTTTAATCCACTTTATTTGCATAACGCGCTATCTGTTATCAACAAATTATAATGCAAATAAGTACGTTGGAGAGGTAGTTAACGTCGATTAAATATTTTTATGGCAGAAGATGGAGTGGTTTTTGCTCACCTCGAACCACACATTGTTGTCTCCGTCGCAACGGTCTGACAAGAAAAATGCATACTTATTGTAATTAACACTTCATAAAATGAGAACAAACTTTCCAATTGCACATTGATAGTGTGCCTAGAACTCGTTTTTGCAAAATTTATTCTGGTTAGTGCAGAAGATGGGGACCGCTACACACTGTCAAAATTATTTTAAAACTGCTATAATAAAACTTTATTCAAGTTAAACAAAATTTTATTTTGTAGATTTACTATATTGTTCAATTTTAGTGTCTCGACAGGCAGTAGTTTTGAATTGCAGTTGATAGTTCAGATAGATACGACTGTATCTTGGAATTTGAGGAATTTCATTACACAGACGAAAATAAAAGGATGATGAACAGCTCCATGAACAAATCGATTCATCTCAAGTGGTACGTCAAAAATACATCGACACCTATTTTGATTCCGTTTCGCCGGAAGTGCACGACTTTTGTTGCAATAACACCCCCTATATCATTTTTTAGTTGACAGCAAAATAATTGGTTCATGTTTTTAGAGAAATTTACCTTGAGAGAGAGATTTTGAGAATTATTGTATTAAAAATTAAATAGCTTTGCTGACTATTCATTCGTAAATTAATGAAAAAAAACAATGTTCAGAATGCGAGCGCAGCGAGCACGTTCAGGTATAATTTAAAAAATTGTTCATTGGTGTCCCTGAGAAGCTAAATTATCAAGAAAAAATTTCTTTGTTTAAAAATGTTAGTTTAAATAATAATTTTTCGTGTCCGCTATATTAATGTATCTGGGACTGAAACATCCTGAACGTGCTCGCTTCGCTCGCATTTTAGAGGTTGGTTTTTTTAGAGCAATTTACATTGACAGGGAGATTTCGAGAATTATTATAATATTAAAAACTAAATAACTTTGCTGACGGTTCATTAGTATGTTTTTATGACACTAAATTAATAAAAAAAGAACGATCAGAATGCGAGCGCAGCGAGCACGTTCAGGTGTAACTAAAAAAAAATCATTGGTGTCCCTGAGAAGCTAAATTATCAAAAAAATTTTATCGTTGTTTAAAAATGTGAGTTTCAATAATTTTTTGTATTGGCTATATTAATGTATCTGGGACTGAAACATCCTGAACGTGCTCGCTTTGCTCGCATTTTGGAGGTTGATTTGTGCAGAGCAATTTACCTTGACAGGGAGATTTCGAGAATTATTATAAATATTAAAAACTAAATAACTTTGCTGACGGTTCATTAGTATGTTTTTATGACACTAAATTAACAAAAAAAGAACGATCAGAATGCGAGCGCAGCGAGCACGTTCAGGTGCAATTAAAAAAAAATTATTGGTGTCCCTGAGAAGCTAAATTATCAAGAAAAATTTTATCGTATTTTAAAAATGTGAGTTTAAAACATTTTTGTGAGCACAATATATCGTCCCCTGGGACTGAAACATCCTAAACGTGCTCGCTTCGCTCGCATTTTGGTAATTGATTTTTTCAGAGTAATTTACATTGACAGGGACATCTTGAGAATTATTGTAATAAAAACTAAATATCCGTTCATTAGAAAATGTCTTTACAACACTATAAATTAATTGAAAATTGGTCGAAGGTTATCGAACAGAATTTCCCTCGTCCCTAAAGTGCAGCACTAAATAAATCCCACTTCGTTGAAAAATTATCTTTTTTTTTGTTTTTTGATAACATCTATAAAGTAAAAACCAGTGGCGTAAATAACGCTCCCATAGCTTATTTGACTTGAATTTTTTCTTCAATTTTTCATTTTTTTTTCCTTACTTTTTTCGAGTTTTCAAGTATAAATTTTTCAATTTTTCAATTTTTCCATTCAATCTCTTGATTTTGCAATTTTTCGATTTGAGTTTCTCGAGTTTTCAATTTTTTATTTTTCCATTTGCAATTTTTCGTTTAAATTTTTTATTTTCTTTATTTTTACAATTTTTCAATGTTCCGATTTTATAATTTTTTTTCAATTTCAGTTTTTCGTTTCATCAGTTCTTCAATTTGCAATATTTGAAATTTTCGTTTTTATTTTTTCTTTAATTTTACGATATCTCAAAGTTTTCATTTTTAAATTTTCCATTTTTCCGACTTTTTAAATTTTGAACGTTTAAATTTTTAGATTTTGCAGTTTTTCGAATGGAAATTTCATGAGTTTTCAATTTTTAATTTTCAATTTTTAGATTTTTCAGTTTTTCATTTCTTCAGTTTTTCGAGAAAAACGAGAACGTGCAAGTTATTCTAGGTGACTTACATTAGGAGTACCTACAGTCGAAAATTATTGAATAATAGATTGACTTTATGTTTTTTATTATAATATCTCTTGTCCTTTGCGCCAAAAATTGTTAAAAGAAAACTACGTATATAAAGAAAAAAAAATAAGCCCCACCCACCCGCCCCAATCTCAATTGTGATGAGTTTCATATGATAATTTCTTTTAGAGTAATGAGAATTTTGCAGCTAAACTCCGCCCATCAGCTCACAATGAATAAAACATTCATCACAATCGGGAAGGGGTGGGTGGGCGGGTCTTATATTTTGTCGATTTTTTCTTAATATACGAAATCTTCTTTTCCCAACAAGAAACTGAAAAAATGTTTAACTATCCTGTTGTTGAAAGAAAACTCCATATATTAAAAAAACAAACAAGATTAAACCCCACCCACCCACCCCCATTTTAATTGTGATGAATTTTTCATTCGTTGTTAGACCGAGGGGCGGAGCGTAATTGCAAAATCCATATTTCTCTATTGATTTGAATGAGTTTGTCTTCTCAAAGCAGAGGACTAAAATTATTAATTCAATTCTTTTATAGATAAAACACCAAGGAATCTTTCAGATTCTTTAATAAAAAAAACTTCTTTCAAAAATTCTTTCAAATTTTGTCAAAAATAAATCAGCTGTGGGCCTCCAGGAATGTACTGTATCCTTTAAAAAAACACGAGTGGTCCCCAAAAATTTTTCATTTTGTTCAGAAATAAAATACCAGAAACTTCAATATTAATCCAGATTTTTTAATAAAAAAAAAACACCAGGGGTTCTCGGGGGTCTTACAAACTCATAAGAAATACACTAGAGGACTCCAAAATTGATTCAAAATCTTAAAAAAAATACGAAGAGAAATTGTGGTCCTTCCAAAATTTTCAAAAATAAAACTGGAAGGTTTTAGGAAAAGTATCAATTTCTAAAAAAAAAACCTAAAGATCCCTCGAATCTTTCAATTCTTTTAGAAATCAAACACCAGAATCTTCCAAATTTTTTAATAAAAAAAATTGGTAGAAGGTTATTTCAACAGAACTTCCCTCGCCCCTCAAGTACAGACAAATAAATCCATTCCCTGAAAAATTATCTTTTTTTTTTGTTTTCTGATAGCGTATAAAGTAAAAACCAGTGGCTTAAATAACACTCCCGCAGTTTATTCGACTTGAATTTTTTCTTCAATTTTTCATTTTTTTTGTTCCTTCATTTTTTCGAGTTTTCAAGTTTAAATTTTTCAATTTTTCAACTTTTCCATTCAATTTATAAATTTTGCAATTTTTCCATTTGAGTTTCTCGAGTTTTCAATTTTTAATTTTTCCATTTGCAATTTTTCGTATCAATTTTTTATTTTCTTTATTTTTACAATTTTTCAATGTTCCGATTTTATAATTGTTTTTTGTCATTTCCACTTTTTTTAAATTTTTCGTTCCATTAGTTTTTCAATTTGTAATCTTTCAGTATTTCGTTTTTTCTTTTTCTGTAATTTTACGATCTCTTGAAGTTTTCATTTTTAATTTTTCCAGTTTTCCGATTTTGCAACTTTTGAACGTTTAAATTTTTAGATTTTGCAGTGTTTCTAATTGAAATTTCACGAGTTTTCATTTTTAATTGTCAAATTTCAGATTTTTCAGATATCCATTTCTTCAGTTTTTCGAAAAAAACGAGAAAGTACAAGTTATTCTAGGTGACTTACATTAGGACTACAGTCCAAAATTATTGAATAATAGATTGACTTTATGTTTTTTGTTATAATATCTCTTGTTTGCGCCACAAAATTGTTGAAAGACAACTACGTATATAAAGAAAAAAAATAAAAAATAAGCCCCAGCCACCCGCCACAATCTTGATTGTGATGAGTTTGATATGATAATTTCTTTTAGAGAAATGAGGATTTTGCAACTAAACTCCGCCCATCAGCTCACAATAAATAAAACATTCATCACAATTGAGAAGGGGTGGGTGGGCGGGGCTTATATTTTGTCCATTTTTTCTTAACATACGAAGTCTTCTTTTTCCAACAAGAAACTGAAAACATCTTTAACTATCCTGTCGTTGAAAGAAAACTCTGTATATTAAAAAAACAAACAAGTTTAAACCCCACCCACCCACCCCGATCTCAATTGTGATGAATTTTTCATTCGTTGTTAG